ATTTTAATGAAAAAACAAAAAAGAAAAACAATCTGCACTACAGAGCAAAAGTCGCGTACTTCAAACATTTTTTCGTTTCCTCACACTAAGAAAAAGCAAAAGCAAAAGCAAAAGCAAAAGCAACAGCAACAATTGAGAAACAACAACAACAACAAACAACAGCAAGCAGCGGCCAGCAGAAAGCAACAATTTGTGTATTTGCCCCCGTGTTTGAAAAACAATGAAATGTGATTTAAAAATTAATTAATTAAATTAATTGGCATTTAATTTAAAAAAGCAACCAACAACAAGAAAAAAACGTAAAAAATGTACCACAAAAAGCATAAAAAAACTAACAAAACAGTCATTATACCATATAAAAAAAGAAAACAAAAAGAGAATGAGAAAGAAGCACAGAAAACCCATTTAGTTGAGAGCATGAAAATTCCTTCAATGAAATTTACGAATTTAATGTGTAATTTTTTTCCGACAGAAGCAGCAGAAATATTATTATTTAGATATCGAAATCGAGATATGCCGTCAGATATGTCACACGCTACATACACTCTTTTATTCGTTTTGCATTACCCCGTAATAATTTTAAAAGAATTTTAATTTTGTTGTGGAATGTTTCTTGTTTCTGTTTTTATTTTTTTAATATATATTGTACAAAGTATTACCAGGAGAATGGAAAATCAGCAACAGTTTTACAGAAACGATTCGAAAGAAGAAGCATGAGCAAACAAAAGCAAAAAGCATTAAAAAATTAGAAATACATACAACAACAACAACAACAAAAAATCCCAACAATTTTATTACATTTATAAAATGAAAAACAAAACATAAAAACAAAAAACAAACATTTACATTTTAATTGTTGCATAATTTTAGTTTATTTTTAGAATGCCTAAATCTACAGAATATAAAAGATTAATTGATTTAAAAGATAAACGAAATTTAACACAAAAAGCAGAAAAAATTATTAAGAATTATATTAATCATAGCGAAAAACAGAAGATAAAACATAAAAGAAAAGTATGTATAAGGAACAGAGCAAACTAAAACAGAAAGCGCATAAATAGGTGAGAATAGGAGGTGGAGTGTAGTGGAGTGTAGAGGGAAACAACAACTATTAAAAGTGTAAATCAAATTTAATGCTAGCTCTAAAATATATTGTAAATAAATGGAATATGATGTATGTTATATATGCGACAAGTATACCCAATGCCCACACACATCCTCTCCCCTACACACACACACACACACACACAAAGCTAATTAAAACATATACATATATATACAAATATATGATAATGATAATAATAAATGAAAAAGCAAAAGTATTTCAAAAAATTAAAAAACGGTAAGGGACTTTTATAGTTTCTTTTTTGTCTTGTTTTGGGTTTTTATTTCGAGAACACAAATTCCAATATTAGTTTCGTATTATTTATGTTTTGTTTTTCAGTTGTTCTATTTGTGTTTCGTACGATGTGGTTACCAATGGACCAATTTTTATATATATACGAACAATATATGTATGATACCCACACACCGAACGCGAGCGATAAAAGATAGGTATATTAAAATTTAATATATTTAGAGGAGAAATACAATACGATATAATATTCAAAAATATAGCGAAATTTTCAAGCTTTTTCCTCCCCTCCGTTCCAGCGCTTACATTATACAAGAAAACAAATCGAAAATTACGAAAATTAAACGCTAAAATCGCCTCAATGTGGTAGTTAAATCAATCTCAAATCTCTTCTCTCAATGTTATATCAATGAAAAAAGAAATCATATTACAATTATTATATAGTATACACGTATGTATATCGTAAACAGAAAAAGAAAACAAAATTCGTAGTGGTTTCATTGTAAAACAATATTTCGTAAAAAGAACAATTAGCTTCAAGATCGATAACTGAAAGGAAGATTTGTTCCACACCAAAACACTACCTATGGTGAAGGGACTATTCCAACTCCCGCACTTCAGGCAGAATATGAATTGAATAAAGAAGAGTCGAAGTAAGAATTGTGGAGGGAGTACGTAGAGAGAGATGCGCAAATGTGATTTTATTCAAAATAAAATACACATATAAAAAGATTACAATTAATAATGAAAGGAATTTTTATTTTGTGGATCCCACACGATGATCCGATTTTTGATGATGCTTCAATGAGGGTGTGAAGTAGGGATTAAAGGAGAGCGGAGAGCGGACAGCGTTGTACATACGAGTATTTAACTAACGTAAATTGTAATGAACAAGGTATATATCTGAGTATACATATATACACGCATATATATATATATATGTTTAAATGTAGTCCATAAGTTGTAATTTTAAATGATGGAACAAAAGCAAATACACATAAATAATATAAAGAAATAAACAGAGTTCCTCAAGACTTTCAATTCTCTTCTTAATTCCAGCGACTCTTCTTCGCGCGTTTCGAGTCATCTTTGTTGTTGCCGCTGCTGCTGCTGGAGGATGATGAAGAGCCTGGGGCTGGCGGCGGTGCTGGTGCAGCAAACACCCCCGTCTGGGGCACTGTCTCCTCCCAAGTGCGATCGCTGGAGGCCCTAAACTGTGAGCTGTATTGATTTCGGAACGCCTCTCGCATCGCCGCATAGCGATCTGTGGCTGGGCCGCCACTCGAGGCGGGTCTTGGCTCCTTGGTAAAGGGATTATCGGTGCTGCTGCCTGGCCTCGAGCTGCCACGCGATGGTGGTGAACGATCTCCCGAGCTGCTTCTGTCTCTGGAGCCTCTCCGTTCTCTGCCGCCACTGCCACCGCCGCCATGTGGGGGCTCGCGATAGCCCAGGCCAGTGTATGTTTTTGTGACCTTTTTGCCCTTGCCCTGCTTGAAGCGTGAGCTGCGGAACCAGGAGCTCTTCAGGGCAAGCTCCATGAGATCCTCGGGCACCTCCTGATCGGCCCCCTCCAGATTGCGCACCAGATGGCCGGCAAACTCCTTGTCCTTGTCGGTGACCAGAGTGAAGGCATTGCCCTTCTCCCCGGCACGGCCCGTGCGACCAATCCGATGCGTGTGCGTGTCAATGTCCCTGGCAATGTCGTAGTTCACCACATTGCGGATGTGCGGTATGTCTAGGCCACGGGCAGCCACATCGGTGGCCACCAGAATGTCGCACTCTTTGCGCTTAAATTGTGTGATGACCTTGTTGCGGTCTGCCTGGTCCATGTCGCCGTGCAACAGCAGGCAGTTGTGCTCCTTGACGAGTAGATTGTTGGCCACAGTCTCGGCATCGGCCTTTTTGGTGACGAAGATCAGGACACTGCCCTCCGAGAGGAACTTGACCAGATGGCACAAGAGCCAATTCCACTTTTGCAGCGGATTGGGGAAGACGAACACAGACTGTGTGATGTCCTGATTGGCCTCATTCAGATCGCCCTGAACGATGCGCACCGGATCCGAGAGCACGTCTCGGGCCAGGCGCTCGATTCGCTTCTTGAAGGTGGCCGAAAAGAGCAGAGTCTGACGGTCGGGACGCACGTGGTTGCAAATGGAGCGCACCTGCGGCTCGAAGCCCATGTGGAACATGCGATCGGCCTCGTCCAGCACCAGGAAGGTCACTCGGCGCAAATTGGTGGCCTTCATCTTGACCATATCAATCATGCGGCCCGGCGTGGCCACCACAATCTCAGCGCCCTGCTCCAGCGCCTTGCTCTGCTCCCACTTGGAGCCGCCGCCGTAGCAGCAGACCACATTGATGTTGTACACTTTGCCGAACTTCTTGGCCTCGTTGTATATCTGCAGGGAGAGCTCGCGGGTGGGGGCGAGGATCAGCCCGATGGGCCCGTCGCCTGGCTTCAGCTCCCGCTGATCCATCAGGTGCATGAGCAGAGGCCAGATGAATGCCGCCGTCTTGCCAGAGCCCGTCTTGGCAATGCCGATGATGTCTCGGCCTGCCAGGGCTGTGGGCACCGCCTGCGCTTGAATGGGCGTGGGCTGTGTGTATTCCGCCTTTCGCACGGCCTTGATTAGCTGCTCGTCGAAGCCAAAGTGACCGAAAGAAGTCACAGGATTGGGCGGTGAGGGACCGGTGACCTTCACGCCAAGAGTGTGCCGCAGCTCGCGGACCCCCTCCTCGTCCAGGGTGGCAATTTCCTCATGCGGCGTGTAGAAGTTCTTCTCGAACGGCTCGTACTCGATCTCCGAGTGGTAAATGGTGGGCAAGGGATCAATGTCCTTCTTCTTGGGCGGTGCAATCGGATTGCCATCCTCGTCGTACTCGATCTCCTGGTCGGAGCCATCGTCGCGGAGCCCAGCATTGGGATTCTCCTCCATGTAGCGGTAGTAGCTCTCCTCGTCGTCCTCGTCATCGATGTCACCACGCACACCCTTCTCCAGCTGCGGGGCGCTGGTGGCTTTTGGCTGTTGTGTGGCCGCACGGACCTTCTCCTTCTCCACCTGCTGGTTGATGCCGGCCATGAACTGCTCCAGCGGATCCTCATCCGAGTCGGATTCCTCCTGCTTCTTGTCCGTTGCTGTCGCCCCAGGTGATCCTGGTGCTGGTATGTACGCCTGCTCCAGCTCCCTGTGATTCTGCTGCTGCTCGTCATCTTCGTCGAAGTAGTCGTCGTCCGTGTGCTGTTTGCGCTTGCCCACAAAGTTTGTGGAGTTGGTGTACTGACTGATGGAGTCCAGCGTGGTGTAGCCCTGCTTGGAAGTGCCACTGGCCGATGGCAGCGGTGGAATACCGCGACCGGCGGCACCAACCGCACCTCCTCCCCTTGGCACATATCCACGACTATTCAGCACCGGTGGCGGTGGCACGGCATTCATGTTGTTGCCCGAGCTGGCCGGCTTTCTGTACGGGAAGCCGCCACCCCCTATTCCTCGGTAGCCGCTCATTATGCTCCAGTCCGCAAAATCTTCTTCACAAATCAATAAATAAAGTTTACAATTTCTGCAAGCATTCCCTGGCTTGTTGGAAAATATCGCTATCGATGAGTACCTCACTATCGATATGTCAAGTATTTATTCCAGCAGGGTGTGCACACACTTGTGGCTGCACAATTTGTTGAATTTGTTGATAAATAAATAGAGTGCTGTAATGGCTGCGGAAATTAATAATGTGGCTCAGGACTATGCCAAGATCATACAGAGTGCCGATCTGGACAGAGAAATCAGTCCGCTGTGCACGAACATCGAGGATATGCTGGCTCGTCTCGACGAATTCGAGACACTTCTCTCTTCGGTAAGAAAGTGCTAATCATTTTGATATTTATACTAATAATTTGTGTTACAAAGGTGCGTGCCGAGTCGAATGGCATCATGGCCAACCATGTGTGCAGCATTCTCAGCTTCAGCGACAACTTCGATGAGCTGCGAACGCGCATCGACAATCTGGAGGCGTTTGTGGGCAGGGTAAGTGCGAATCTGAACGATGTGGAACGCTCTGTGGACGTGGCCGAGCAAGAGCTAAATGTGACGGACTACAGCCTGAAGGGACTGCTGTTCAAGCCCCTCAAAGCCAAGCTGACTGCAACAGATCCCGCGACCGCCCAGCCCCAGCCACGCACGAATCTGCTCGATGGGGAATTCCAGCCAGTTCGCATTTACAGCTCCGACGAGTACTTCGGTGCCCCTGCTGCACCAGAGGAGCCACAAGTGGCGTGAGCATCCAGTTAAATATTTAGTGTTTAATTAGCAGACGTCGTTTATGTAAGTGTGTAAATATTATTGTTTATTTTTCAATCTCGTTTTTTTCGTTTGTTCATTATGGATAACGTGACGGTTAAAATTAACGCTACGCTGCGCGGTTACATAAGCAGGACGGGAGGCAAGGCTGTGGCCTTGGCTTAGACCTAGGTCTCCTTGCTCTTCTCCTTGCTCTCGTCGGAGCTGGAACCTGCTGTGGCGGCTGCGGCGGCGGGCTTCTCCTTGTGGAACAACTCGGCCACGGACACGGGGTGGTGGATGGGCACAGTCAGCTCTGAGCTATCGGCCTTGTGAGTGTGGGCTGGAGCCGTGGTGGACTTGATCTCAGTGGGCACCGGAATGTCACGCTGATGGCGCTCCTTGGCTTGTGCACTGGCCAGCGATTCTATGGCTTTGTGCAGCTCTTCGACCTTTTTGGGATCGTGCTGAACTTTCTCGTCGATAGTCACGGCGGCTAGCTTGGAGGGAGCCTCGCGCCTCTGCTTGTGGTGAGCGTGGGAGTCTGGCTTCGCCGAATGCTCCTCTTCGTGGTGATCGGCATCGTGATGGTTGGCCCCTGACGCCTCTGGCTTCGTTGGAGAGTTTCGCTTCTGCTTGGGAGCTTTGACTGCGGGAGCATCTGCAGGCAATGCGTGAGGCAGAGCATCCTTGCCCTCCTCGTGGTGTCCCTCTTCGTGGTGAGCTTCGCGCTTTGCCTGCTTGTGTGCCTCGGCATGAGAATGATCATCCTTGCCTTCGTCCTTCTTGGCCTCCTCGTGGTGTCCCTCTTCGTGGTGTCCCTCCTCATGGTGAGCCTCGCGCTTGGACTTCTTGTGAGCTTCGGCTGCTGGAGCGGCTGCTGGCAATGCATGAGGCAGGGCTTTCTCCTTGTCCTCCTCGTGATGTCCCTCTTCGTGGTGAGCTTCGCGCTTTGCCTGCTTTTGGGCCTCGGCATGAGAATGATCATCCTTGCCTTCGTCCTTCTTGGCCTCCTCGTGGTGTCCCTCTTCATGGTGTCCCTCCTCATGGTGAGCCTCGCGCTTGGCCTGCTTGTGGGCTTCTGGAGCGATTGTTGGCAAAGTAAGAGGCCGGACCACCTTCTTGGGCTCCTCGTGGTGTCCCTCCTCGTGATGTCCTTCCTCGTGGTGAGCCTCGCGCTTGGACTTCTTGTGATCATGGTGCTGGGGCTCGTGAGTCTGGGATCCATGCAGGGGAGCGGGCTGGGCCTTAGCTGGCGATTGCTGCTGGCGATGTGGATTATGCTGCAGCAACTCGCGTGCCTTAACGCTGTCGGGCTTGGGGTGAGCCTTCTCATCCCGCTTCTGGCGATTCAGCAGGACAACCTTCTCTTCGGGTTTGGGATCGCTGATCACTTCAGGAGCGATGGGGCTAGGACGCCAAAGCGACTCGGTGGCTTCCTTGACATCAGCCGGAGTGGTGTCCGGAGTGGGTGCCGCATGGCAAGCGGCAAATAAGGCGAGGAATATGATCTGTAAAGTGAAACGGAATAGAATCATAGAGAAAGTTGTCTTTGCGGGCAGTCTGCTGATGTGGACTCACAATTGACTTCATGTTCGTCTTATGGGCGTTGCTGGGATGTGTTGACCGATGGGAAATTTCTCCCAAACTGCTGCTGTTTGCCCCGTGGGCAGCCTATTTTATGAGCGAATCCCATCCGAGGCGCCGAGCGTCTCATCCCCAGCGACTTGTGGGCTGTTAACCAGTTTGTAATTCGGTGCTAATTGCCGCTAGATACACGCCAAGTACGCTAAACCCGTTCCCATATGTAAATATGTATCATATATATTATTTTCCACTTTGATACTGATTTGTCTGGCTAATTATAAGCCGTGGAAATCACCGTCCAAGTCCAGCATCTCATCACATCAAAAAAGCTGAAAAAACCTAGACAACAAAATGGGCTCAAGGCTTATTCAGACTCGGAACCCAGACCCAGATTCAGAGATATACATAGATACGGATACCGTATCCGTCGATCCGTTAGTCATATCTGTTTAGCACTTGCAAACAGAGAAAAAGCAAAATGAGAGAGAAATACTTAAGCAGATGGGAGTTTGGGTAGCAGCTAATTTCAAGTGCACATAAATAAATATGCAAACATTAATAGGATTCGCGAAGCGACTATAATTGCTGCCCTTTTACGTAAGTTGAACAGATTTGTTGACATTTAAGTGTAAATCAATCAATTTACATTTAATTTCCTGGAAATGCTGTACGCAGCAGGGCCACACAGCTTTGAATGATTGATTGACTAATTAATTAATCGCTCTGAATCGTTGAATTTTAAATTCAAATCAAGAAAGCGCCCACCCAGTGTGCACCCACTCCTAAAAAGTATTGTGTTTTTAAGCTTTAACACACATTTTGTTCCTTGTCAAGAGCATGTGGACACATTCATTTTTATTTTTGGCCATCGTGGTTTATTTCCTGGTATATTTTGATATATTTCTGAGGGTCTTCAGTATTTCTGATGGCTGGCGGTATAATTTTTACATACCACACTTAATGTGTAAAATGTAAAAAAAACAAAAGTTAGAAAGAATCCAAGACAAAGAAAACTAGCAAATCTTGTGGAGAATTGATTGATAAATCGGATAAAACTATAGATTTAACGCGGAAACTCCTAACTAGGTTTTAATATCAAATAGAACATCAAAATCGAGCAAAATGATTTGAGATGTACGGTATATTTTCAGTAAATTTTAAAAATGCAAGGGTATATTTCGGTATATTTCCGAGGGTCTGTCGGTATCTTTCATCGATAATTCCGCGGTCACACTGTCACACACCTTAATTGAAGATTAATTATTTTTAAGCCCCATAAACAAATCAAAATGCCAACAGAAATAGAGAATATTAATCCCAATGTCTACGACAAGATTAAGGAGCGTGTGACGACGGCCAATGAGGAGGATGAAAACGTGGCAGATCCCTTCGACAAGCGTGAGATTTTCGGTGAGTGCAGGGCCGTGGCAAATCCTATAAAGATTGAGTTGTATATATAATGCTTCTGTTTGTGTAGATCTCATTCGCAACATTACTGACCCGGAGCACCCGCTCACCCTGGAGGAGCTGCATGTGGTGCAGGAGGGGCTCATCCGCATCAGCAACAAGCAGAATTCTGTTTTTATAAACTTCACACCCACCATCCCGCACTGTTCCATGGCCACGCTTATCGGTCTGTCCATACGAGTGAAGCTACTGCGCTCCCTGCCGCCCCGCTTCAAGGTTACCGTGGAGATTACGCCTGGGACCCATGCCTCGGAGCAGGCGGTCAACAAGCAGCTGGCGGACAAGGAGCGTGTGGCCGCTGCGCTGGAGAATAAGCATCTAGCCGAGGTTATCAATCAGTGCATCTCGGCCAGAGGTTAAATAAGCAACCCCGCGTAGCTGTTCCATGTGTTTTAAGGTAATACAAATTATATTTTAGCAGCAAAACTTTCTGGGGTCATGAACTATCGGCTAAATGGTAAACGTTAACAAAACACAGCGTTGCGGGGCGACTGGCGGATGACGCTGTACTCCATGGACCATCATCGGGTTATTCTTTGGGCGGTCCCTTTAAACGCATGTGCGGCTCGACGATGGGCAGGGGCTTTGCCTTGGTGGGATCGTGCTTGAATGTCTTCACCAGCGGCCCCTTGCCAGCCTTGGCGAAGCGGATTTCATCCAGACGCTGTCGCTCCTCGATCTCCTTAGTGATCTTCATGTTGTCCCAGGCTGAAAGAGATTAAAAGATTAGAATGGGTCTTTCTTTGTGTTGTATTTTCCAACTTACACTCTTTCATGCCTCCAACGAATCCCTTCTTCTTCGCAGGCAGAGCACTGGGCGCATGCGTCAGCATCTTCTCGATCTTGAAGTATTCCCGCACTGCCGGAATACGCAGCACGGCGACCTGTCCCAGTGAGATGAAGTTGCTGCATGCCCAGTACGTTAGAATGGCCGCCGGGAAGTTCATTGTGAAGGGGAAGATGACGAGCGGCAGGGCTCGCAGCACATACTTCATCGTGTTCATGTTAGCAGCGGACAGGCGGGCGCTATCTGTGCCAATCTCGATGGTCAGATAGAGCGTAGCACTGGTGATCAAAGGCAGTATATAGAGAGGATCGGCGAGGGTCAGATCCTGGAACCAAAAGAGCCCGCCATCCCTCATGGAGTCCACGGGCGTATTGGCCATCTGACGCAGACCCATGAAGAAGGATATGAAGAGCGGCGCCTGGGCCAGTGGCACAATCATGTTCTTCAGCGGATTGACGCCCTTATCCCGCATGAAGATCATCATCTCCTGGGCGTAGCGGGCCGACTCAATGGCGTTGCCCGACTGCCTGGCCTCCGTCATCTTGAGCTGCAGCAACTGCATCTGCGGCATGTTGTTGTTCATCTTCGCAGAGTTTCGCTGGGCGAGAATCACCAGCGGAAATATGATTGTGCGCACCACAAGCGTTCCGATGGCGATGGCACCCCACCAGGGCAGATCCCAGGTGCAGTGCAGGAACTCCATGCAGTTTTGTACGATACCCACGGGCGTCCAGCCTCCCAGCCCGATCGACGCAAACGTTGCCTCTCCAGCAGCATTCACCGTCTCCACTACACTCGTGGACATATCCTCGAGGGCTAATGCGGGCGGTGTCGGTGCCGCTGGAATATCGGGCAGATCGACCAGCTCCTTGGCGGACACTGATTCCGGCAGGCCCTCGGCGCCAGTGCTGGCAAAACGCAGAGCACTGGCGCCCATCAGCGCTGGAGGCACGAGCTTTTGTGGGGGAACCAGCATCGAGTGTCGCGACAGCTGGGCGCTCCAAATCCTACAGCTGGCCAAGTGCATGCCCCTCCTGTTTGCGGGTGAGTTGTGCTGTGGGAAGATATATTTCATGATTACCAGTGCGGGTGGTTCCATCATTTCAATTCATAACAAGTTACCGCGTTTGCAGGTTATGTCATAGAGAACTCCAATCTGTGCACCGGCTGGTGGCACGGCACTTACCTGTGTCGTGGTCAAGCGGGCTGCGGACATATTGAATGCTGCAGCCGCATTTGTTGCACGCCAAAGCTGCATCCTGTTAACCAGCATTTTAATTTAGGAAATTGCTAATTTCTGTTTTGCTTCGTTTTGCTGCGCAGGGCCTGCGGAAAAGAGATGGAGATTGTAAACACCAGGGCGAATGGCAAAAGCAAGAGCAGCCAGCTGTTGGCGATATATCGCGCCACCTAGTGGCCATGTTGCCGTTGCTTCTTTGGATTTCGCGCCACCTGCTGACCATGCTGCAGTTGCTTCTTAGGCGGTAAGTTTAAAATTTTGAATCTTACTTACGTCTCCGCTGTCAAAGCTTTTAATTTAAATTCGTTGAGCTGACTTAAAATATGAGTTTTGAGTGTGAATGAACAAAATGGTCTGATCTAGTTTTGAAAATTGAATCAATTAGCACAGCAATTTACGATTTGCTTTCGCTGGCCATATACAAATTTGCCCATTTTATGGCTGACAGACATCCCGGAAGGTGAACGGGTTCCTGCTGGCCATTCAGTCAGGAGAAGAGCCAGAGGGAAATGTCAAAAGTCAAGGCGACATATTAGGCATACACTGAAATGCTTCAGTTTCAGTCAAATTAATAAATTAATATTCATTCAATTCGATAACCTCACCAATGGCTAAGGTCTTACTCGATTGGCTTGAAAGTAGCTAATCTTAGGACGTCAGTGTATGGACAATTCGTGCTGGTTTACTTCCCACTGTGTCCATTTCTCATTATAAATACCGATCAACATTATATTGTGATTGGCTTGGGAAAATAAATTATAAATCTCGTCTCATTGGTACGCCCTCATCTGCATATTGCTGAAACCTGAGAGATTATAGGTGTTCAAAATGCGAATTGATCTCGAACCCAGAATAGGTGTGTGAATTATTAATAGCCGCCGAACTATTCACTCGCTTCGACGTGCACAACTAGTTTGTTTATTAAAGAAAAGGGGGAAACAACAAATGCAAAGTCAAACAGCCAAATATTATATCACTTAGAAACTAGTTTATTGACTGTGAGTTAAATGCGAGTATATTTAGTATTGCTTTTGCTGCATCAAATAGAATACAAAGAAGATAATCGCCACTAAGTAGCCACTAAAGTCAAATCCCAAACGCATGACACCGAAACAGGCATTACCTTTTGGGGATTGATTTTATGTGGAAATGCTTTTAATTCATCTCTATATTTTCCTATACTTTATTTAAATGTTTCCCGAATTTCCAAAGCGTTGAAGGTTGAATTTAAGTGCCAATGCAGCTGGGGAAAAGTGATGGGGAGATAGATGCCCGTCACTTGTCGGCGGTTTTTACGAGGTAGCCAACATAAAATGGAATTAATTAATGAAGCCCTAAGGTACATTCATCATACAGCTGAATTGTGAAGGCACAGAGAACTGTTGGATACACTTATAAAGAAAAAAGGGAATCTAAAAGGAATTAATAGGGATTTTTTGTTGCATCTAAAACGGATTCCTTAATGGCCATTAAATCAATGGATCAGTGGCATAATTATTATTGCTCATCGAGCAGGTCGATGATTTCACTTTCCGTACATGCCATAAAGTTCAATTTTATGACTTTCGTGTTCTCAAGAGCCAGACCAGACTTCCTCAAGGTTAAACTTAGACCCCCCATGTTGATTTATGTGGTTGGCACATCGCACCAACTATCAGCACAGTGGAATGAAAGTTGATGGCAAAGAGATCCATCCATGGCTTAGAAAAAGAGAAACCTTCTTAAGATCCCGCCTCATTTCCTGATTGGCAGATCCACTGTGCAGGCGCTAGAAGCGCTAGATCAGACATAAAATATAGCATTAAAGGTGCCGCAAGAGGCACGAGACATTTTGTGTTCATAGATAAGGCGGATAAGGCGGATAAGGCGTTGGCTGGCAAGCGCACAACGGGTAAATCCTGTTTGATATCTTATTTTGACAATTAATTAAGTATTAACTCAGTTTTATGGACCAATTTGTTAAACGCACACATTTCAGCGCCTCTCGCGCACACGTATCATGTGTGTGTGCATTGAGAGTAAAGCTTCGTGTGGCACTTGGCAACGTATCAATCGAGGGACGAGACGAAGAAGCATCGTAAAATGCGAACTGGAAAAGTAAAGCTTAGCCTTTTGGGCAGACCAGGCCAAAAGTGGAACCATAAATTATGCTAAATAGTATTGGGACTCTGCGTACCGTAAGCTAGCTACATGCTATTTCAAATGCATTTAATTAAGTGTGTCTTTTTGGGTGTGCCGGGTAGGTTTTCAGACTAGACCCGGACCAGACCTAGGCTAAGCGGCGACATTGACATTGCCGCATGTGGAGATACTTTTAACTTTTGCTCTTTGCAGAGCCCCAACCCACGCGCAGACGTCACACTCTACTCTCGCAGCATGGGATGGAAATTGGAAGACATTGGAAGACAAGCCGCCGATGCTCCAGTTTGGCCAAAAACATTTTGGCTCGGCTCGGCTTTGGCTGGCTTATTGTTATTTAGATGTGTGTTTCCTGCAGTCCGGCGTAAAAGTTGTTTGGGTGGATCGGGTTTCAGTCGACTGAGAATTTGGAAGCAGTCTTGTGTTTGGTATAAAAACATTTGCAATTGGCGACAGAGACATCATTCAGAGTTGTCTCACTGTCCCAGACAAACGAACTCCTCCTCACTTCTGCCAAGATGTTCCGCTACGTAAGTATACAGGATATTTAGGATAAGCCAGAGATCAGCTAACTGACTGCTCCTATTCCCTATTCCATCCGAAACAGATGCTCGTCGCCTCCGCCGTTCTGGCCTGCGCCTATGCCGCCGCTTCCTACAACACCGATGCCACCGCATATGTAGTGAAGAACAGCGCTGACATCCAGCCCGAGGGTCAGTACCAGTACCAGTACGAGACCAGCAACGGCATCGCCGCCCAGGAGTCTGGACTCGGAGGCCACCAGGCGTCGGGTGGATACTCGTACTACTCGCCGGAGGGACAGCTGGTCCAGATCTCCTATCTGGCCGATGAGAACGGTTTCCAGCCCCAGGGAGAGCTCCTGCCCACTCCTCCACCAATCCCAGCTGCCATCCTGAAGTCCCTCGAGTACATCCGCACCCACCCTCAGTACCAGGAGCCCCAGCAGCAGTACCAGCAGGTGCAGCAGCAGCAGTACCGCAGCCCAGCTCGCGTACAGAACAAGCGCATCTACGGTTAAGCAGCGACGACAGTCATTTGCTAATGTTTAAAAAAGCTTTATTACACTTTTTAAATGAATAAATGTTATTGAGGAGAAAATCAGACTCATATCCTTGCGGTTTTTGGGGTCCTTTATGGGGATTATTTTTCAAAAAACCTTTATCCATCATTATCCTTAATTACATTTTTTCAAAAGCAAAGTAACTAAAAGTATGCTACAGTATTTTGCACTTTTTCTTAATATAATTTCCGCAAAAATTGTGTTGCTTACTTTTAGTTACTTTGCTTTTGAAAAATTAACTGTCGTTTCATAGCATCCAGCTCTTGACACAGTGAATAAAATAAAAACCAGCTACTTCCTGCTGATTTCTGTTGGCCTGGTACTCGGTTTGAAAATTTACATTTTAGCGAAGCATTTTCAAGTTATTTTTTTTTCCACAGTGGCGCCCCAACTCTGAGCGGCAATTCTGGAACTATGCTATTATAGTTCCAGATTTGGCTGTCGTGGTATCGGGGCGCCACTGTGCAAACTACAACAAAAACTTTATTGTTGTACAATAACAAAAACAACTTTTTCTGTACAACAGAACAGAATTGTTTTGTTGTTTTACCCTTTATTTGAAGGCCGATCAGGACATGCCATACCACCTCGTGATCGGGACAATGTCCCGGACTGGATGCAATCACTTCGGATGCAAGGACATTAAGGATAATGCCATCTAAGGATATTTTTTAGATATAATCTATACAACGCCATAACTCGGCTGTTTCCTGTCGGATCAGGACATGCCCCATGTCCTCATAATCGGAACAATGTCCCGAATCCTTTGCAATCACTTCGGATGCAAGGACATTAAGGATAATGCCATCTAAGGATATTTTTAGATATAATCTAAACAACGCCATAACTCGGCTGTTTCCTGTCGGATCAGGACATGCCCAGCCTCCTCAGGAGCGGGGGGCCTTCCCGTATCCTTAGAATCCATCAAGGACCTCAAGGACGGCAGGATATAGCTGTTTAACGCATTTTTGTAAATGTGATCTTTTCAGCCTGAAGTCATGCCATACTTTTTGCAATCACGTGCCCCCAAAAGATACTTTAAAATTTCCCGAACGTATGCCACTCTTTTAATTGGATAGACAATTTGATCGTTACATATTATTATAATAGGGCACAATAAATGTATGTTCATAAATATGAATGTTTGTGTATCTAAAGGTAATGCTAATGTATGCTAATTCGACTCGGTCTCAATCGCAGATTGGAAATCGGCCACTTTGATAGAGAGCTTCTAGTCCAGATCGCAGTGCAAGTGGGGAAATCCGAGTGCTGCCATGCGCCATCTTCCAGCTAGAAGACAAGAATACAAGAGGAGAATAGGTAAGAAAAGAGCAGCTGGCAGAGTTAGTCTTAACCTTACCATATCAATGCATCGCTGTACAAAGGTATCTTTGAAGTCGATGGGATCTCACGCTTGTGGTGTTGGGGTGACTCTAATGTATATTAAACTTCAGTCTTTTTCCGTTGTTTAACTGGTGTTAAGTCGTGAAATGGTGGGACCTTCCTTTTTTTGGCTCGGTATATTTACGTTATATTTTGTAAATAAGATACCATATTTCGGAATATTTCTGAGGGGAAGATGGTATAGTTGATTAATAAATGAGCGGTACCACTGATTTCAACTTATTTACTTTAGCCTTTAGATATATGTATACAATCCAATCAAAGCGAGTCTTTATAATAAACTAGATTGTAGAGAATCGATTCATCATTCGAATTAAATTATATTTTCAGTTCTGAGAGTTCTAACTAGCTGGTAAAATTAATCGGAATTACAAAATCCTTGAAATGTATATTTACAGTTTTACAGTATATGTGCGGTATATCTTAGGGGATCAGCGGCAGGACTGTCAAATATTTAATAAATATCATATCAGTGATTTATTTGTGTTTTTTATTAACAAAATCATTTAAAATATGTTACTGCAAAAATATCGATATATTTGATATTTTTTTGCTTGTATGTATTTGCTGAAATTAAATAACGCGCGCTGCGGACATAAATAGTTCTCATGGAGAAAACAGAAACCTTACAAATGTTTATAGCATCTTTAATCCTAATTCCACTTTACTGTGTTTTTTAATTTGATCAATTCAACTTTTATTCGTTTATATATTCCTTTCCAGTTTCGAGAGCTAATCGAATAGGGACGTGTGAGACGCTTCGTATGCGTTCCAAACTTGTATACTCAGTCGGTATTTCTGTAATTTATTCTTTATATTTCGAATTTTACATTTTACATTTCGCTTGTGTTAAGTAATATTGTGGTTGGTTACCAATCTTTAAATATCTTAAAATATCACAAGAAAATATCAATATATTGATGTTGGGCAAAATAAATATCACGATATATTTTTATTTTGAAAAATATCGATGTTGATTTTTTGATATATTTTTGACAACCCTAATCAGCTGCCACACTAATTCCAACTTCCATACAAATCGCATCGCGGGCTCTTTTTGAGCTAAGTTAGTTAATTTAATAATAAAACAAACAGCAAATAGTTAACACCGTGTGGCGTGGGCAGTGTGTCACGCGATTAAGATGAACCCACGTAAAATTAACCGCCCGAACAGATGAAATCGAGAGTAGCGTCCTCGTCGGCGTTGCAAGTTGAATATGTTTGAACATGAAAACCAGTGCTAAAAATATAAAACAACAACAACTTGGCACGCCAAGAACTGCGTAAAAGAAGCCAATAAAATAATAGAGCATCTGTGCTCTGGTTTTGAGGATAAATCAAAACAGCCTGCTCGGGATTCGTTTTGCGAAAAATTCAATATTAACGCAGCTGCTTGTCGTGCGTGCCCTAGCGCCCGCCTTTTTGACGTCACAGCGGCGTCAGCGGCAGAAAAAACTCTTCAACGGTTGGTGCACCATGACGTTTCAGTGACGCGCATCTCATGCCTGAAAGTACCTTTATAGTAGAGTGTACATTAGCTCAATAGTCGCCATGGATAGCTCTATGTACTACGCAAAGGACAGTTTGGTGGCCGACACCACAGAGGCGGCAGCTTTCATGGAGGCCGTCGCCACGACGGCCAGGGCCAATGCCACGCCACTCGTCGACGATGGCGGCGTATCCATGAACAATTTCTATCCGGCATTGGTTCAGTGCTTTGGCATCATCATCTGCGGGTTAGTAGAGCAGTCTCATGAGAGTAAAATATACGCGTGGGCAGATGATAAGATTAAAATCAATATTCCAGCTGACATTGCTTTGTCTAGTTCAGGGTTCAGCTGGAGTTGTGGGTGTGGGTGGGTAGTTGACCTTTAGTTTAAACTCTCGCCAGCTGATATGGGGTCTCAAAGTGCCACGCAGTGGCACCGTGACGCTCTTCCCGCCTTATCTGAGCGTACGTGCCGCAAAGGAAAGTTCTCCATTCAGTGTAAATTCGGGCCCCCCCCCCCCATTAAATTTCTCTGATTTGCTGATTTGTGGACCCTCTGTCCGCGCATATCGAGTGCCCACTCGTATTTAACAATCGTCTGCCAAACTGCTGTCTCATGATCCAATTCGTTTCGTTTGTTATTCTAAATAAACTCCCAGACACACAAGCAAAAAATGGTCGAACAATCAGTTAAATGAGTTTATATTGTTCTTTGAATGTTTATACTATTTTTTGGGAATATGAGATCTGCACAGTTTTGAATATTCAACAATTATTTGGCCAGAAAACTGAAATACAGCTTATGACAATTCTGTGGAATTGGTTCGTTTGTTTGTCTAACTATTGGAGATGTTTATGCAACTGTCGTTTCTATGGAGAGATATTGAATTGGCCAGACGACAGAGATCTGAAAGATGGTATTCCTTCGTAACCTAGGCAGCTGCATACTGGTTTCTATACCTACCCAACGATAAGGGTTAAAATAAATGGCGGATGGCTCTTGCAAATTTACCCTTAGTCAGGGGTTTTCTGCCCCATTCCCTGCTTTTATAGCTTTGCAAGGCACTGTACTGCAACCGCGTGTTTATTGTCTTGATTTTCTTGTAATTTATGCGTTGAGTCACTGAGGTAGATCTCGGATATAAGACATTTGTAGATTTTTGCATTACTTCAAAAATACTACAAAAATCCCAAAAAAAAAATGAACACAAATCTGAACCAATTTCGCAACGTGCCCACCATTTGTGGTGGCAATTTTCCAGGGAAACTGCCATTAAGCTATTACCAAAGTGGACGCCACAAATGAAATTACGCTCACTTGCTGCAAATTACAGCCTATGCAAATCGCCCACGGGGGGGGGGGGGGGTCTGTCTTGCTGTTGTTATATCTTGATTTATGCATCTGAGCCGAAAACTAATTGGCTTTTAAACAATAATCGAAAGTAAAAACGCTTAGAGAGTGAGAGAAAAAACACGATAAATAACCAACACGAGATAGTCAACAAAACAATTACAAAAATGACCTTGCCAAACGGTGCAGCAGGCAACCGGCAGTAGCCACTGCCACCTGAGGCAATATCTATATAATATCGTATCTATTGTGTTGTACTTATTTCGATTATGCAAGTGGCTATTGCTTATTTGACTGCCAATTACTGTCGATATGCATGCTACACCCCCAGCGTAGACATTTATTCAAGTGCATTCCTACTGTTCAATCAAATAATTATAGAATAGATATCGCTTTTGCTTCTGCTTGCACACATCCAGGTAAGGGTTTCTGTTCCGTTCGGTTCGGTAATATGTTTTATTACTCAGCAGTTCTGTTCGGGGCAAACATTGCCATCTGCCCTGCCCAGTTTCAGAACCGAAAAAGGTTTCAACTGTGCTCCTCCCGACTGTACAGATGCCCTGTAGTTGCATAGCGATTACGGAACACAATCTGTACTGCTTCCAACAACTGTTTAAAGTGTCACAGATCTTTCCGCAAATTTTACCTACCCTACTGTGTGGCACTCCAAAAACAAGCGCATCAATTCCAGTTGACTTTTATTTTTTATCGCTCGTAATGCAATTGAATTTATTTCACGACCACTATCAGATTAATATTACACTTTACCCTTTTATGTAGTAGAAGTTTGTGCT